TTAAAATTAAAATATATCAATATCCAAATATAAAACACGTCAATATTTAAAATTAACATTGTACAACTGTAGAGACTAGAATTCTGTAGTTTTATCGATTGAGACCAATTTTGCCTTAAGTAAAAGAAAATACGCGTACATCGCATCGTATAGAAAAACTAGTCTCAAGCGATAAAAATTTCTTACTAAACCGATTTTAATGAATGTACGAAGATGACAACGATTAGATGACACTAAAAAAATAACATATTCACTGTGATATTCAAGCAGTTCAATTTTAAATCAAAAGCGCTTCCTATACGATCAAATTTTCATGTAAAAACCTTCCCAAACTTTTGTAAACTCACCATACATATTTTTAACCTTACATTTATTATTTTATCACAGTGAATAGAGCTTAGGTGTTTAGGTAGGGTGACAGAATACCTAGAGTAAAGCTTAACGCGTGCCTTACTTCAGGTTCTTACAAAACGAAATCGGCGGTATCTTAACCATAGACATTAACATTTATACGTTAATACATCTATCCTCTAAACATTTAATAACATGAGTTTTGAATACATATCGATTGGCTATTTCAAAGCATACAAAGCCACGGAATGTCTAATACATTTGTTAACGCAGAATAAAGTGCATTTTAATTTTTGACTTGATAAACACATCGGGATGATTTGACAAAGTCCTGTTTTGATATGCGATATGGAGTTAATAATAGTAATTAGATTTTAATATTGAGACTTCAATTCCTTTTTAAATTCCACTTTAATGTTTTGACGTGATTCAAGCAATTAGCACGAGCAGTTTTTTAAAATGGAAATCTGTTACTGAAACATAATACACAAAAATGGCTGCCCATCCGTTGTTTATTTGGCACTAAAGTATCGTTTTAGAAATCTTTAATTCAACTTGAACAGCGTTTTCAAAGCTGAATCGTTGCTTTTTAGTTAATATAATATAATTCGGCTAAATCAACACAAATGCCCCGTGAAGCATCATAGCTCAGTTGGGAGTGAATGGCGTCCAACACATCAAAATTTTTGGCAAACTTAACTAAGACAATTTTTTTTTGTTATTATATGATTCGTTCTTGGAGCGATACGATACGGATACAATATTAATACTATTTACTTAACCTACAACACTGAGAAATCAACATTTAAATTTAATACAGACAGTAGAAAACCTACTTAGATCATTTTACTAACAATAATTAAATTTAAAAATTTATTCATTAAATTAAAAACAGATAGTATTAAGTATAGAATTAAACTTTCACTGTTATATGTGTATCATACGTCTTGGCGTAGTATATAATATATGTACTATTAATGAAGAATTGAATTAAATATAACTAGGTACTTTACGCAGTAGGTACTGTAACAGAACATGCTAGAAGTTTCTTCTTCTACATAATATAGATATATAGGTATTATTAACAAAACAAAACTACACATTGTTACAAAATAAACATTTTAGGTCCTTGAGTTCATGGCGCTACCCTTGGACCCGGATTATTTGACTAATGTTAAGGAAAAAAACTTTTGTACTTATGTGCAAAATTTACCATTTTAAAAATTAAAATCAAAATTTACTAAGTATACGATACAAACCAAAAGTGATGTTTTATTTTAGAACACTCTTTCTCAGTCTCTTAGGATAAAATTTCGATATTTCTCTAAGAAGAACGCAAAAATTACACACATGCTATTTTTATTGGATAGTAATAAAATTAAAGAGACGTTAGATCAAAACAATTTACCTTATGTATTTTAATCCTCGGTCTATGTCATACATTTTAAACATCGATAGACAACATCTACATATACGCAAAAAGCTAATTTAATGATATATTTCCTATATAATGACCCTATATATTAATAATACAGTTATTAATAATATCATAAATACACAAACGTTTAAGTATTGATTAGAACGACATTATCTGTAGTCGGATTTTTGAGTGTCATGCTCATAATATTATGCTCGTGTACATTTTAATTGTTAACGAAGTTAAAATAATCTTTTTTAAAAAGTTACATGTAACAAATAGAAACCTGATTTTATGTAATCAATTTTATACTTAAATTATACATTAATTTGAGATTTTTTATTCTGAATTTAAAATAACATAATATAAAAATGAAACGAAAAATTTAACATTAGAATTTAATTAGAATGTAATTAAATATAACAAAAAGTTATATTTAATTACATTCTAATAAGTAAAAAACGAAAATTTATTTAAGATGAAGATTAAGGTTTCGAAATATTCAATTGTTTGACATTATATATTTAGTTAAGGGAAGAAAACCGTATCATGTAAAGAATGTTTCGGTATAACTTAATTTTAAGGGAATCACAATATTGTCTAAGCTCAAACATCGATTATGCTTAAATACATGGCCGTAAACATGTGTTTCTTTATATATTACTTAACTCTATGTATATTGGATATTAGTTATAATCTAAAAATTCCTTCTATATGTAAATATAGTTTGAGTGAATTTAATCCATGGTGGAAATAATGAAGGAATCGTCAAGTATATAAACTAAAGAGTCCGCCCGTCATTACATCTTGCGAAAAACGTGATAGTTCGCGATTTGTGACTGTTTCGGACCTTATCTTTCACACACGATAAAATGAAACAAACTGAAGAAACTTCTCGAATTCCATTCATATAATACATAATTCATCAATTGCATATTGCATATTGCGTAATTGCGTCTCCCTAAGTGCCAAATACATACTATTCAGCCTGGATGAAACAAAGATCATATGTTCCCTGTGTGCACTTCATTATCGTCAACGCAGTTTTAAAAAGATTAGCTGAGACCTTCCAGACACTTCTACTTAAGACCGTAAAAGTTGTTGCGCTGGGAGCTGTGAGTCGAATCCCGCACGGAACAAGTATTTGTATGGCCTACAAACAATTGTTCCGGGTCTGGATGTTTGTCCTCGTACAATTTATGTTTGTAAACTGCCTCCACGACACAGGAGAAAATCCTAGTGTGGGGGTAACGTTTTTAGGAAGCACTGCAAAATTATTGTAAAAATCATTATTATTGCAGAGCACTGCAACCAGTCACAAAACACAGTCACAAACTTGCTTACTATCTATCGTTCATGGAGTAGACACTTGACGATTCCTTCATCGAAGTGTAGATTATATTAGGTACGTTAAATTTAAAAATTCAACATACTGTACACATTTCCAGACGGACGGTAAGGCTTACAATAAAATATGAAGACGTTTGTAGATACTAATACTTTTTAGCATGGTCCGATAACAAATTTAGAATAATTTCCTTTTCATATACATCATAGCCAATATAAGAAAACAAATATAAATAGCATTTATTTTCAATTGTAAAGTTCTCAAAAATATGTTTAAAGTAACGTCACAAAATATGGTTGAAACATTTGAATCAGTTTTACGATCTGTGTGCCGTAGGATTCTTTGGAACTTATAAAAATAATCTAGCGAATATAATAATAAAAAAAAAACAAAATGTTCTAATGAAAATGATATGTTAGGGACACAACAAGATTCAAACGCTTTTGACAGGACTTGCAGTGTTAAGTTTACTAAATCTTAATTGATTTGGCAACATTATGCGTAATAGCAAATTCGAACTCATTCTTGAATTTGAATTTGGAACAGAGAAAATTAAATAACCCACCATTAAACAAAGCAATACAAAATTAAATGCACAATTTCGAAATACTTTAGGGGGTTATAGAGCAGAGTCGTTAGATAAAAACTAACGTTTGCCTTTGTAGTGTCCACATTCGTGTTTTTATTGCTGTTATAAGGATTATTATATAAAATAAAAAAAATATTAAATTTAATTGTTTTATATGTTTTATTATTTCTCTTTTAATTATCCAAATCCTGTGCGTATCAAAGTTCAAAACTCACAGTTTTGAGCTGTAAACTTTTAAAACTTATGACATACAGTACTTAGGCAGCAGCGTGAGTGTACGAATGTGGACATAGCATAATTTAAATTTTTTTCTTAAGATCTTATATAAGTGAATTACATAAATTTATATTAGATAATATATATGATATATGAGCGTACATTGTATACACTAATCATATTTCGAATAAATATGTATTTATTTGTAAATGACTCTTGCACAACCGGATATTTAATTTGTGAAAAATACATAAAATATTTAAATTTAAATTTTACAATGTTGTTTATAACTTTGTTCTTATATTTAAATAAATTAAATCATTTTAAGTAAGTTGAACAACACTGGGATTACGGTTGGAATGAGGAAAAATTAATTGTATTTTAGTGGATTAAAATTTCTAAACGTCGTATCGTATAGTACTAATGATTCCATCAGTGCAAGAGACATTTTGTGTGAATATCATCAATTGATATGAAATGATTTCATTCGCGGGACCTCCGTGAACCGTTCATACGTTTAAAGAATAAACATCGACCACACATTTCTATATTTACAGTTAAAATGTACTGAGTTTTGAGCAAAGGCCGAAGATCCAGACCGTGTTACGTCTTTATAATAATTATAAACGTTTTTAATTTAATACTTTGTAAAGTAATTATAAATCAAACCTTTATTGATTTGTTACATTATGCAGATAAAATAGATTTTAAGAACAAGTTTATTGAGAACGGCAGAATAAAAGCGTTTTTGTCTACCGCGGTTACACACGCAAGGCCTTTACTCAGTTAATTTTCCAGTCACACTCATTCTTTACAAACAGCGGTACAACTCGCGGCACGTAAGTCTAGCGCTGAATGAAACGTGGAGGGGACGCGCACGAATTGAATTGCACGAATGCGACTGGAGAGGCAATCAGCGCGTGCGAACGATATGCACGAGCCAATCAGCGCGACCTATGCGCAATAAGCCAATCGGGGAGACTTATGCGCAATAACGGTCACCGCTAGACTTTCGTGCCGCTACTTATACGACATATATTCTAAAATGAAACTTCGCAATGATGTGGTCAGAACTTAGCTTAGGTGTCGCTGGCGGCCGACGGTTGCTTGATCAAGTCGTGATCGCGACCAACGCTCGCTTGAGTCTTTAGTTTCGGCTTGTCTTTGTGACCATCGTGTCCGGTCTTGTGGTCATGGCTGGGCTTATGTGTATCATGGCCAGACTGCTGGACGTCATGGCCGGTCTTGTGGTCGTCGTGGCCGTGGCCACTCTCGACAACACTGACGCCGTTCTTGTGAGTGGCAGGCTCAGAATCACCGTCTTCTTCGCGGTACTTTCGGTTGAACCAGTGTAGGCACATGCATCTGGAAGATTGCAAAATATATTAAGTTTCTTGGCGATTCGATAGTTTCATCCGGAGGGGCATATTTATGCATGAACTGACTGGGCCGCTATCCAGGACAGCAGTTATAGATTTTTTTAATTAATTATTATTTTATATGGCAAACATGTGAAAGAATACTGACGATGGACCAGCCGCATGGGCAAATAGTAACACCAAGTATTGAATCTGTTGTATGTATTGGAAATTCGGAAATGGAAAATATAATTCAATTCAGATTTAATAATTATTTATTCGCTGTTTTATAAAGTACAGTGAAGTAATTAAATAATACATATTAGGAAGTTAAAAAGTTTAAATCTGTAATTACTTTTATTTAGTTGTACTTCATTGTACATAATTTACATTTAATAATAGTTATTTTCTATATTATACATATTGTTACCCCCTAAAAATATACAGGGTTATTTCCCTAATAGTACCCAAATTGTAAACTTAAGTTCAACATATAAATAACGATATACCATTATTGCAGTTTTTAAAAATACGAGTAAATAAGGCTTCTACTTTTATTTGAAATTATCTTAAATTGAATGTGATTTATGAGCAACAACTGCGCGTACGCGCGCTCCTCAGTGTGCCGTATCACAGAACCAAATATATAATAGTACTACCCATGTATTTTTATTTTTGCCGACCGATCGACCCTTACGAATGTGTGCGTGGGTAGTAAAATAGTAGGCGTTAGATATTTATGAATGACAATTAATTAATGTGTTCGCGCCAAACGCTGTTGTCGGAATCGACGTCGAGAGGGCGCGCGGCTCGGTGTCATACCGGTTTGACATTCGGTCGTGAGTAAAACGCACAAGCGCAGTCAGTCGTCTGTCAGCTGTGCTAACGATAGCACACTGTTATTTTTGTTCGGGAATCATGGAATAGTTTAGACGTCTAGTAAACATCCTGTCTAGGATTTATAACGCGAATTCCTTGTTGGATAGCCTTTCCCGGGACTTATTGGGTCCGACTCAGAATCTGTATAAGTGCATTCGACAATATTAGCTAGTGCGGCCTTTGATATTCTAGAAATAACTGTTGCCAAACGAAACGGTAGTGACCTTTGACCTCCGTGTTCGTTTTGTGCGTTAACCTTATAACAAACGAGAGTTAATGGCTTCTGTAAGTTAGTTAATCGTACGATAGAGTTAATTGACTGTCATCGTGATGAACGAGGAAAGTGACTGTGGACAACGCCGCGGAAGGTTCTCTCAATTTGGAGCGGTGTCGACGCCCGGGCTGCTGCCGACGGCCAAGGTCTAGGGTCAATCACCATCAGTCACACCCAGATACACATAACATCACCTTATTTCCCTTGCACTACATAACCACATGCGACCTGACCGATTCCGGAGGGACCAGTCGCCTTGGATATTGGTAAGTAAGCTCCGTCTAATATCCTCCCGGTCGACTGGCCGTAGTATAGAACGCTCCCCCATATAGTTTATTGTAATTAGGAAATTCCACGTGGCCATATTCTGGCCCCGTCCCTCTACTGCTCGTCGATGGGATTACTCATGGGCCCTAATCCCGTCATCCTTGATTGGGGCAGCTAGGGGCTTGTACATAATGTAATGCATTACCACGCATTTTGAATTTAAGAGATAAAAAGGACAGATTGTTTGACATTTTTATAAATATTTTTTTTTACCACTGGACGATTATTGCAAAATAACTCTGTATATTACAAGATTGCGTTTTTTAACTTTTTTAATTTTATACTTAAGGGTGCGTAAAGATCAAGTAACATGTTGTATAACTTCTGTTTTATAACACGTCCACATTATGTTATATTGTTTTTCAACATTGCAACATATAACAATACTGTACACATTAGAATAACAATGCAATATAACAATGTTATATGACATTGTCGTTTGTCGTTCTGGCGTTCGATGTGTCACGTTATATGACACGTTTTATAACATTAAGGCTCCACATTACTGAAACATGTTATATATCAACGTTTTATAACATGTTATGTTATATAATGTGTACGCACCGTAAGAGATACCTTAACAAAATTAATTGAAGTAAGACGTTGACGTTTATAGACGCTGCAGCTGTCACTTCTCATTCGTTTCCACGACGAATACTCTCGTTTGTTCCTATAGCCGCGCATAACCTTGTCGAACCTCGCCTCGCCTAACCTTAACAAGTGTGTGTGAGCCAGCGAGCATTTAGCCCATAAAATATCAATCCTCTTACAACAGCGGAACTTTGACTCAGTTTTAACGGCTACGTGGCGCAGTGGCTCAGCAATGAGTTGCAGCGCTAAGGGCCGCGGGTTCGACTTCCACACGGAGCATGATTTGTATGGCTTACATTTTCTCTTTATCCTTATGCTATATATGTATGTAAACGTATCGTCGTACGTCGGGTCCAGCAGAACCTAACACTACGGATCATCGTCGGTGCAGGTCGCTCCGTCCGGAATGACGTCATCGCGGCCAACCTGAAGATGGAGAGCATCGAAGAATTCGTGGCCCGACTGGCGCGCGGCATGATGACCGCGCTGACAATGGGCCACATCAACACCTGAACAACTTCGCCACATTACATGCACGGCCCCCGGACGGGCGACCTCTACCAAGAGAACTCCTCTCTATAGCGATTAGAGAGTCGAGTAACAACCCTCAATGCCGCAGACCCAACTCAGACTTTTATTGAAACCAACTTGCAGCGACCGTGGAATCGAATTCCGGACCGCCGCTACACCTCCAACGCCATGACGGCTCACATGACCGGTGCGTAGTGATGCACCGCGAGGAGATCCCGGGTAATAGGAGATGCCCCGAGGCATGAGACCTGCAGTGTGCTAAACAGCACACATGCAGACGATAATGAAGTACGTAACGTATGTAATCATGATACAGGAGCAAATCTTAGTGTGAAGATAACGTTGAAATACAAAAAAAAGTATTTATAACAATGTTAAAATTTCTTAATAAAACTTGAAATTCAAAACTGATGGTTACAAAATTGAATTGCATAGGTACTCTGTTTCAATGACGCAGTTTGTTAGCTTAAAGTAAAACGTATTTCAGCAGTCGAGTCGGCAGTCAAACAAATGGAATTTACGTAGCTGACGTTCCATAAACATCTTTTGTGTTCCGACCGTCCGTTTTCGGGTTCTTATACTTGTGGGGACTGGTCTGCCATTGACATGCCATGAAGACATTTTATTAGCTTTAATTTTGTATTTATATTTTGTTTTGTAAATTTACTATAAAACATTCATTTAAAATATCGGTATGTTCCTTTTTTTACCTACACGCTTTTATTAGCTTCGCGTGTATCTATCTATGTAACGGATATGTACTTTAATGTAATTTTCACTAACTTGTAGAATACCGATTGACTTGAAAATTTGCACTCATATCAAGGACCGATGACAATACAATAGTTTAATAATTTTAACCTAGTATCCTGATGAGGATCACCAGAATGAAATAAAATAATTTTATCTTTAGTGTGTTGCATAGTTTTTTTGAAACTATAATTTAATTATTTTAAAGAATACTCGTAACGCTATAAACATTACTAATACTTCTGTTAACTATAATGGTTCATGACAGAAGTAGAATGGCGGATTTGAACCCATGACTTTCACCTACTTTCGCTTCAAATGTCATTCTTGATAAATTACATTCTGATTCATTTCTGATAAACAATATATTCAACATTGTATCATTGGTCTTTAAAAGAAATTACAAAAATTGATACCTGTGGAGTTCCTGTATCCGATTCTTCTCTGGACAGGGCAAGCGTATTTTGGAACGGTAGTAGATTAAAAATATATGTTGCTCTTTGACAAACGAAATATTAATTTCATATGTCGAAAAATAATTTTCATTTCATCAAAATAGATTAAAAAATCTATAGAGCGGCCAATGCGAATATAACAACAATCATACAAAAACTTTAATCTCGTATGTCTTTAACGTTATCTAGCTTTAAATAACAAAAACACGCATTAAAATAAGTAGCGCATTCTGTATATTCTTTTCGAAAATTATTTTCTTTTAGCCAAAGTACTATGAAGCTACGACATATCGTGGTCTCATATCGAACTAGACTGAGCAACCTATGGGTAATGAAGGTAATGGACTACGATTTTGACCGCTTTGTCCAGTCTATCGCTCAGTAATGCTATGAAAATAACTAAAATAAACTAATCTAGCTGTCTCGACACTAGTGAGACCTCTAATCTTTTTTACAGCATAGGCTGCAGAACTTAGTCTGCCTGCTAATTTGGATATATGGGGGCCCCACTGGAGCTTTGCGTCAAGAGTGATGCCAAGAAAAACAGTGGATACAACAGGGCTCAATTCCTCCCCATTTAAAAACACATTGGTATTCAGATTTTGAACATTCGTTGTTGTAAATTTAACACAATTAGTTTTATTTCCGTTCAAATGCAGATTATTAACGTTAAACCAATGCACTAATTTTGATATAGCATTGTTCACTTCGTCACATTTAAATGATTGACGTTTAAGTTTAAAAATCAAGGAAGTATCATCAGCAAATAATACTATATCATGACTATCCCCTACAAGGTGAGGTAAGTCATTAATATACACCAGAAACAGGAATGGGCCGAGAATCGAGCCCTGAGGTACACCCATTAGTACAGGTGACCCGGAAGAACTTTTACCATTGATAATAACCTTCTGTTTTCTATTACTTAAATATGAAATAATAAGTTTAAGCGCTGTGTTCTTGACACCATAGTACTGTAGCTTCCTGATTAATGTCTCATGGTGAACACAGTCGAAGGCCTTGGAAAGGTCACAAAATATACCCAAAGCATCCTCTGAATTCTCCCATGCACAAAAAATATGTTTAATAAGCTCAACTCCAGCGTCAGTTGTCGAGCGACCCCTTGTAAAACCGAATTGATTATTATGTAGCAATTTATTAATATTAAAGAAACTTAACATCTGATCTAAAATAATTTTT